CATGTGTGTTACTCGACAGGTGTGGGTCGCATCTTGGAGGACGAAACTGAAGGACCCCAAATGGAAATAAGACAGACAGTCCTCGCTGAAGCACTGAATTTCTTGGGTTATCTTGGTGGCTAACCCTCCTGGTTAAAGATCCGAACAAAATCTTAGCTTATATTATCTTAACTAAATAGACCCCCATTCAAAGTGTAAATCATCCCTTACGTTTTCTATGAGATGTGTTGACCACACGGGGAACTTCTTAATTCCTCGAAGCACACAAATGACTTATTAATACGAGAAATCGCAGATAAGAAAGTCTGAAGACTCCTGTAGTGCCTCGAGTGTGTCAGGCGGTAATCACAAACCAGGATGCAGTTTTTTTTAGCCAGTTCGACCTGCAGACTTAGGGACCAGGAGCTGAGACTAGACCCCTGCAACCACATATAATAATAATAATAATAATAATAATAATAATAATAATAATAATAATAATAATAATAATAATAATAATAATAATAATAATAATAAGAGATAAGCCTGAGCTTGCTACCATCTGCAGCTCATAAGACTGCCATCCCCACGAGCCCCTTTGGGGCGTGGCAGATGGCAGACCAGAGGCCTAGCTTCTCCCTACGAGCCCCGTGAGGGCGGGGAATGTGGCTAGGCCTGGAGACAGTTGGTCCCAAAGATGAGGAGGTACATGTACCTCCTCCCACGGGAGACTTAGGTCTCGAGACACTCCCCAGATAGGGAGCCAAGGCCGGGTCACCACTACTTGGAAAAGACCCGGGCCGGGAGAATACCGGCGAATAAAATAATAATAATAATAATAATAATAATAATAATAAATCTTTATTTCTACAAGTACATGTATAACGTATACAGACCTAGTTGACATCAGTGACATACTATATAGAAACCCCTGATTATGCAGAACGTTTTGGGCAATAAGGTTAATTTTATCCCCAGGGTACTAACAACCAGGTACCTATTTATTCCTAGGTGAACGGGGACAACACGTGTCCTAAGGAAACACGTCCTAATGTTTCCACCCGTACCGTGGATCGAACTACGGACCTCAATGTGTGAGCTACCAACCCAGCTACGGGATGATACTAGAATTTTTATTAAACTGGCAATATTAGAAAACACAGCGAGACCCCAAGCTTATGTAAACCGTCTTCCAGTGGGCTGCAGATAACAATATTATGTTCAAAGAGGACAAATTTCAGTTACTAAGTCATGGAAGAAAGGAGGAAATAAAAAATAGATCGGAGTACAAGCCAAATGCAATTCACTCATTAGAAAGTAAGTCAAATGTGAGAGACCTGAGAGTTATAATGTCAGGTTTCACGTCCAAAGGAGCACAATAATATTGATGATATAGATAGCTAGACCCTTCAAGAGATACGAAGCCAATGATGATACTCTTCAGGTCACTCATTCCTTCCACCCTGAAATATTATTGTGTTCTAACGACCCTTTCAAGGCGGGCGAAATTGCTGAGCTGGAGAATGTGCAAAGAACCTTCACAGCTAACATAAACTTAATGAAGTCCATTAGAAATGTACTCCTTAGAATGTAGGCGAGAAAGGTAATAATCTACACCTAGAAGAAAGTGGAGGGATTGGTTCCAAACCTGCAAAACCGAAATAACCACGTATGAACACAAGAGTCTTGATAGACAGTGCAGGATGCAATCAATTAAAAGCAGGGTAGCAATGAGTACACTGAGAACACTGTAAGTATTAAGAGACGACGACTCTTTAATTAACACCCTTTCTTAATGCATACGGGTGATTACCAACCAACCCCCAGCTGTCTCCAAGAGATTCCTCAAAACAGTTCCTGATCAGTCGGGTTGTGGTGTATACTTTGGACTGCGGGTGGCGAGCACCAACAGCTTGATGGATAATATAAAAAATCTCGAGGTTCACCCGCACTTTGTTTCATCTAGATAAACTAATAAACTATGAGGTGATAATCTATGATACAATCCAATGATTGTATTCACAAACTTTATCAAGTAGATAATTAAATATACAATAACAGAAATATACGTAAAGATTGTAATATCTGAAGGTTATGCCAGTGTTTAATGGACCAAAAACGCACTGTAACTCTTTAATCCTAGTCTGTTATCCCGTTAACGGTAGCTCAAAAAAGCTCTCTCTTGAGCTACCACTCACATGGGAACCTGCAGGTGCACAATAGGCTAACAACTCATGCAGTACAAATTAATTAAAATAAGTCAAAGCTCAGGTGTCGGGCAGCTTAGTGGTAGCGCGTTTGGCTCTAAACTGAACGGGCTCTAGTTCAATCCCCAGGCGAGTCTAGACGTAGGAGCAAGTGTCCTGCTGCCTTTTTTAACCAGTTAGTAAATAGAGAGTTGGGAAGTTAATCAGATGTGTGTGTGTCTTTCTTTAGAAAAGAGAACCTAAGAGACTCTAAGCCACACTAATTGGGTTTTCCTTGGCTATTTTTATCCACTGAAATTAACAATCGAAGGACTTCTTTCTTCTGCAGGAAGATCACTCATCTAGATGTTGGTCAGTCGCAATATTTTCTGATCTGACCGAACGAGCGAGGCTGGTATGACAAAAGAGCCTTCAGTAGTGAACGAAATTTTATTTTCAATACATTTTCAGTGTCCTTAGACTCCCTATTTACTTGAAGGACAACATAAGCAAAATAAGAGAAAGCTCACCGTCTTTGTGTTCCATAGGTATAATGCTTTTATTTGTATAACATTGCCTACTGAAGTAGTGATATGTATTATTGAGAAGAGATTACCTATCTGCCAAGAATTTGTTTACCTTATAACGGAAATAACCTCAGGGGGTTACCTGGAGGTTACCTGGAGGTTATTCCGGGGATCAACGCCCCCGCGGCCCGGTCCATGACCAGGCCTTCCGATGGATCAGGGCCTGATCAACTAGGCTGTTACTGCTGGCCGCACGCAGTCCAACGTACGAGCCACAGCCCGGCTGATCCGGCACTGACTTTAGGTATCTGTCCAGCTCTCTCTTGAAGGCAGCCAGGGGTTTATTGGCAATTCCCCTAATGCTTGATGGGAGGCTGTTGAACAGTTTTGGGCCCCGGACACTTATGGTGTTTTCCCTTAGTGTACCAATGGCGCCCCTACTTTTTATTGGGGGCATTTTGCATTGCCTGCCCAGTCTTTTACTTTCGTAGGGAGTGATTTCTGTGTGCAGATTTGGGTTATGATACAATTTTTATTGGACTAAAGTGGGATGATGTGGTTTGGAAATAGTATTGAAATCAAGTTTAAGTAATGTTGGACTCGTGGTCAAAAAAATCCATTTGATATTGCAGTGGCCTTGAAAAGGTGTTGATGGGATTTTAAAAATATTTCAAAGGTGTTAAAATATTCTTGCGCTACTTTTGAATTTGTTTTCAAATGGCACTGATGGTACAATGGTGTTAATCTGGCATTCATCTGATGCTGAACTGGTCATAATATTATACTAACGTGGTTTTGTAATGATGCATATAGGATGTCGAACTGTCTTTGACCCCGATATTCCAATGGTGTTAATGGGAGGTCGATGTGTTTTTGATGTAACATTGAGCAAATGCTAAAATAGTTTAGTTAATGTTGAACTCTTAGTGAAATGTATATGTAGTGGTTATAGACGAACAATATTTTGTCATGATTCACCATCACTAAAGCGTGGATCAGGTCGTGTATTCAGAGCTTCAGGGTCTACCACTCTCCGCAGCGTCTCCCACATGGCCTCCATGGATGCCAGGAAGATGGTGCTACCTTCTAGGTATACTACAGTGCCTTCCTCTTCCGGCAGCGACTCCAGCAAGAGGAGTTTCGACCACTGGCATGGATTCCAATCGCCAGCGTCATCGACCTTCCGAGCGGGACTCCTGGGTACTACCACTCGCTGCAGCTGCAGTCTGGATCGATACCTGAGGTGTAGTGGAAGCATCAAGGATAGCGTCGTGGCTAGAACATTAAGATTACCTTTATCTTCAGTGTTTCGAAATTTTATTCTCGGATAATTAAATATTACTTGTCAACCAGAGCTTCTCTACGATTAGAATTTTCATAAATAAACGTATCAACTCTCCTGAACTATTATGCACCTGAGATTAGATGTTAAAACATTATATATATATATATATATATATATATATATATATATATATATATATATATATATATATATATATATATATATATATATATATATATATATATATATGTCGTGCCGAATAGGTAAAATTAGTCAGTTAACAACAAGAACTCATTTAAAATCAAGTCCTTTCTAAAATTTTTCTCTAATACGTTTAAAGATATATATTTTCATTAATGTTAACGTAAAAATTAATAATTTTGTACCATATGAACCTTAGAAAACTTACCTAACGTTATTATAACAAGTGCAATTTAATTTAGCCTAATCCAACTAAATATATTTTAGATAAGTTTACAGCAATTTAATAATAAAAAACTCAGTTAAATATATCTTTTTCATTATGTTCAAAATGATTTTTGCGAAGTTATTGCATACACAAAATTTCGCTTGCATTATTCGGCAAGAAGAGCGCTGCTATTTAAGTCAAAATCGCAACTTTTACTTATTCGGCACGACATTATATATATATATATATATATATATATATATATATATATATATATATAATATATATATATATATATATATATATATATATATATATATATATATATATATATATATATATATATACTATATATATAATGAAGAATACAGTATTTATTTAATGAAGAAAGCCAATGGTAGCAATGATTTTTCGTGAGCGTCACTGAGCTATATCACTTGACCTGTAATGAGATGCGGCACAATGATACTAGATCAAACGCTCTGTTAATACTCATTTTGCTATCACATGCTTTCACATTATTGTAGAATAATAAAAATCAATGACGCTTTAATTATACTTTAATTATTTTAAAAAGTTGCTTTAAAATTTATGTAGTAAGAATGATTTCGCACTTACTCGGGCGGCCAGTTATTGAGGTGGCGGAGGACCAGGTCGTAGCTGCCTTGACTTTCAGTGATGAAGATGACCTTGAAGGACGACCTGCTGAAGTAGACGAGAATTTTGATAATCGTCTCGATGTATTTAACCAGACTAGAGATGTTGCCATGGTAACTCTGGGGCTCCGGGGTATCCTTACATACATTACTCATCAGAGTCCTCCAAGTGACTGAATCTGGATTTGTATGTACAAAAAAGGATGTCTCGTCATTTTTTATTAATTCGTTTCTTGACATAAAACCATGATTACCAGCTGGTTCGCCGTAAATTTCTGACTCTGTTTTTGGTCTAGTGCTAAGAAGACGTCTACCACTACCGTCATATTTCTTAAAATCGTAATTGCTAGATGATATCCCTTTAAAATCAGAGTTTTTTTCCGATCTAATACTTAGGAGATGTCTATTACTACCCTCAAAATTCTCAGCGCTCTGAGAAATGTTGTCCAAGTCAATGTTTTCTTCAACCATATGTAGTTTGTTGAAAAATTGGTGTCGCTTCCTTGGTTTAGTTGGCCGTAAACCTCCTGTGAGCTTTTCATGTTCTAGGAACAACTCTTTAAGAGAATAATTAAGTTCTGTGGTGTTCATCATCATCTCGAGGTTTTGAGAAGCAGAATGACGTTTAAGGGAGCTCCTATGGTCTTCGTTGACGTGTCTATTTCTCCTTAAGAACCTCTGTCTCCTAAAATTCTCGCTTTGCTGGGAAGAGATCTCCTTTTCTTCAGGTAGCCCCAAGGGGTGTACGTCATCTACGTCACTGTGTCTGCTGCTCTTGAGTGAGTACGCCACCAGACACGTCACCGACCACCACAGAGCCAGCGTCATCAGCACTCCAAGTGTCGGGTTCCTGTGCACTTGTCTCTGAATCCGCGTCAGCATCCCGCACCTGTTCTTTGCCTTTTTTTTTTTCTTCGTCTTTCTAGCTCTTCTTCCTTTCCTATTCTTGTTTCTGTTTAAGATGGCTCAGTTGCAAGGTCATTAACACCAGAACAAATTTACAAGTCGACGTTTGTCGATAAACATGAAAACCTTGCAAAACGCACTCTAAAAAAGTGACTAGGAGAACTTGAATATATGCGCGTGATAATCTATGGGAGGAATTGACACAGGAGGCGGCGTTTAACGACCCGTCGAACACTGCCAACCACGAGGAAGTTACTAGCAGAAAACAATCCAGGAAAAACTTTGCTTAAACTCGCTTCGGTTGCCAAATGACTCAAGAATTTACGGGTACCTCTTCTTCCTCATGTATATATATGTATATGTACACACATATACACATATCTTCAGCTCAAGAGCTTTCACATTTCGCAGTACATCATCAGGAGCTACGCAAGGTTGCAAGAGTAGCAACAGAAGAAATGAGGGTAAGTTTTTCTCAGAACAGGGTGGCGTGGGCACCTAGTAGGCCTACTACACTGCTCCTACATTCACACATTCCTAGGTTTTAATGCTGTTTACGTCGATGGCATTGTTGTTGTTGTTGTTGAGACTACGTAAACAGAGATAACCATGGTTGGTTATGAACTAATACTGAAAAAATGTATGTTATTGAATAGGTTTTGCAAGGATAAGTACGGTAAATGCTCTCAGGCAAATAGGCGATACATAGCTATTAATGTCACTGTCTAACAGTAACAACAGCAAATGAAACTTAAATAACCCCATCAACAGCGGCAGCAGCCGCACCACCAGAGGCAGAAGCCGCACAAATAGCAGCATTAACATCAACAGTAGCAATAGCAGAACTAACGACATTAACAGAACAAGCTCTAAAAATGACACCACCAGTAACACAAAAATACACGAGAAGCAGCAACAGCAGCAGAAGCAGTCATAAAAGGAGCAGGAGCAACAGTACCAGAAGATCCAGGAGGAGCAACAACAGAAGTAGCTGAAATATTAGCAGCGGAAGCAATAGCAGCAGAAGCAGCTGCAGCAGGAGTAAAAACAACGGAAACAAAAGCAACAGCAGCATAAACAGCAGAAACAGTAGCTGCAGCATCGTAAGCAGCAGCAACAACAATAGAGGCACTACAACCACCGACAACATCATCAGATATAACAAAAAAAACACGAGAAGCAACAGGAGCAGCAACAACGCCAACAACACCAACAACGGCAGTAGTAGAAGCAACGACAACAGAAGCACCACCACCACCACCACCATTACCACTACCACTACCATAGGAGCATGTAAGTCACATCTGGTAGCTACTAGTTGCCAAAACAATTAATACTGATCTTGTGAGAGTAACGAGGGAGGGAGGAGCACGGTTATGGGGAAGATGACCTGTGACGAACGCTTGGGACGTGCCATACCGCCGCTGATGATACATCGTAGCTGGTGATGGGTTTGTGCATGACGGCCGTTGGGGAGTAATTTATGGCCAGATGGTAAGTTTGTACACACGCACGCACGCGCACGAGTACACACACACACACACACACACACACACACACACACACACACACACACACACACACACACACACACACACATACATACATATACACACACGAAAAGAGAATAATGTTTTCTTGTTCGCAGATAATGTGAAACAAATGTCGGAAACTGGAACAAGGAGTGGACAATAAAAGCTTTCAAAACGGCCCCGGACAACCTGCAGGATTAGTCTGATAAGTGATTGTTAGAGTTTAACCCCAGCAAATTCGTGGTTATGAAAAATGGGGAAGGAGCAAGAAGCCTAGAAACGGGATATAGGCTCGGGGTACAAAGGCGGTTAACCTTACCAGAAGAAAAGGACGTGGGGGTGATAATAACATTGAGTATATCACATGAGGAGCGCATCATCCAAATAACCTCTGCAACAAATGGACGTCAGGCAATTCAAAGATTTGTTTACGACACAATATGTGACTTAGGTGAAGCCCATTTTGGAGTGTGCTGCACCGGTACGGAACCCTCACTTGATCAAATGAGAAACTGGTAAAATTGCAGAGGTTTACAAGGAGACTAACACGAGAGTTATGGGGTATGAGCTGTGAGGAGAGTCTGAAAAAGGTGAATCAGAAGTCAAATGGAAATCTATGTTACGAAGCAAAGAAAACATCTCGGGATATTGCAATACGTTAGTAAACAAAAATTCTTTAAACATTATCAAGGGACCTACTGATGTCAGTCACCATCACCACCATATTCCACAATCACCACCACAGCAGCAACCACCTAACATCACCCTCCAGCATCGCCAACATCTCCCAAAACTAAATATATCAAACAAGTTCCTACCACGAGGTTCTTTAGAACCTGTCATTAGGGTAATGGCAAGACCAAAATGCACCTCCTTTTTTTTTTCTCTCTCCCACTTCACATATTCACAGACGTACATACACGCGCATACACACACATCACACACACACACACACACACACACAAACACAACACACACACACACACACGCACGCACACAACGCACTAACAACACAAACACACACCCACACACCCACACACCACACACACACACAACACACACTACACACACAAACACGACACACACACACACAAAGGGGACACAGTTGGAAGTTGAAGACACAGATGATCACAGGGATGTTAGGAAGGATTTCTTCAGCACAAAGTTAGTCATAAGTGGAATAGTTTGGGAGTCGTGTAGTGAGGCAGGATCCATACATAGCTTTAAGCATAGGTATGATAAAGCTCACCACGGCTCAGGGAGAGTGACCCTTGTAGCGATCAGTGAAGAGCGGGGCCAGGAGCTCGACTCGAACCCCCGCAACCTCAGCTAGGTGAGTACAACTAGGTGAAGTTAAACACGCGCGCGAATCAAACGAAAACTCGGGGCCAAGCAGTGATTCTACCCCTGCAACCCACAATTATGTGAGTACAAGTAATTGAGTACCATTAACACACTAACCTAACGTAAACATTTTTTAGTTAAGTTCTGATATATATAATTATATTATATATAGATATATATATATATATATATATAATATATATATATATATATAAATATAATAATATATATATATATTATATATAATATATATATTATATAATGCAATAAGATCACAGTAAACAGGTGATTTCGGAATTGCAAAACAACCCTTCTGAAAAAATAGAGAAATTCCAAGCGCTTTCGTGACACTCACATTAATCAAGGAACTATGAAGTAAAGCAACCCCTTTAAATAGCTCCTGTATGCTTTTACCTTTCCATGTTCCCTTGATAGTGTGAGTAGTCACGAAAGCGCTTGGAATTTTCTATTTTTTTCAGAGTGGTTGTTTTGTCATATATATATATATTATATATATATATATATATAAATATAATATATATATAAAATATTATATATTATATATATATATATATATATATATATATATATATATATATATAAAATATATAATATATATATATATATATATATAATATGTCGTGCCGAATATGTAAAACTGGTCAATTAGCAAAGAACTAATGTAAAATTAAGTCCTTTCTAAAATTTTTCTCTTATACGTTAAAGATATATTTTTTCATTAATGTTAATGTAAAAAAATTAATTTTGCACCAAAAGAATCTTGGAAAACTAACCTAGACTTATTATAACAAGAGCAATTTATTTAGCCCTAACTCACTAATTATATTTTAAGTTTTGTTTACATAATTTTAATAACTAACAAACACAAGTGAAATATATTTTTTTTACGTTAGGTTCAAATGTTTTTGCGAAATTATTGCATTCAACAAAATTCACTTGTCCTATATGGCAAGATAGCGTTGCTATTTAGCCAAGATTGCAAATTCTGCCTATTCCGGCACATGCATATATTTATAACATACATCTAGGTTTTTCTCCTTTTTCTAAATAGCTCTTGTTCCTTTTTTATTTCTTCTATTGTCCATGGGGAAAGTGGAAAAGAATCTTTCCTCCCGTAAGCCATGCGTGTCGTATGAGGCCGACTAAAATGCCGGGAGTCAATGGGTCAAGTAACCCCTTCTCCCGTATACAATTACTAAAAAAATAGAAGAAGAAAACTTTATAAAACTGGGTTGCTTAAATGTGCGTGGGATGTAGTGCGGATGACAAGAAACAGATGATTGCTGATGTTATGAATGAAAAAGAAGTTGGTTGGTCCTGGCCCTAAACAACAAAGCTGAAGGGGGTAGGGAGAGTTTCAGTGGGGGGAAATAAATGCTTAAATCTGGAGTATCTGAGAGTTAGAGCAAAGGAAGGGTTAGCATTAATGTTTAAATGATCATTATGAAAGGTGAAAAGAGAATATGAGTGGAAATTTTCAAGAATATGTGGATTAAATAAGTGGATGCGAGAAGTGGGTCATAATAAGCGTGTATGCACCTGGAGAAAGGAGTAATGCAGAGGAGAGAGAGAGATTTTGGAGATGGTTAAGTGTATGTATAGGAGCCTTTGAACCAAGTGAGAGAGTAATTGTGGTAGGGACTTGAATCTAAAGTAGGAGAAACTTTTTAGAGAGGGTGTGGTGGTAATTTGGGGTGCCAAGTTGTAAATGATAATGGGAGCCCTTTGAAAGAACTTTGTATAGAAAGGGGTTTAGTTATAGGTCATACATATTTTTAAGAAAAAAGAGGATAAATAAGTTACACGATATTGATGTAAGGGCGAAATGACAGTAGTTTGTTGGATTATGATTGGTAGATAAAAGACTGTTGAGTAGACGTTCGGATGTACATGTTTATAGAGGGGCCACAGATATATCAGATCACTTTCTAGTGTGTAGCTACACTGAGAGTAAAAGGTAGATGGGAATAACAAGGAGAATAGAAGCAACAGGGAAGAGGAGGTGAGGTTTATAACTAAAAGAGGAGGCGTTAGGGTAAGATATAAACAAGCTATTGGGGGGGTGGAGGATAGATGTGCTAATGAAGCATAGGCCATGGGGTCAGAAGAGGTATGGGTTAGGTTAAAAAATGTAGTGTTAGAGTGTTTCAGCAGAAGTTGTGGTTATCAGGAAGTGGTGAGGAGGAGAGGAGGCGATTTGTGAATGACTGATGTAAAGAGAGTAGTAAGGGAGAAAAGTTAGCATTGAGGAAGTTTTTTACAAAGTAGAAGTGGATGCAAGTAGGGAAATAGTTATATGGAAGAAAAAGAGAGAAGTTAAGAGAGTGGTGAA